CTGGAACTTTCTGGCACCGCTTGGGGCATCTGGCGAGCCCCTGTCTGCAGCTCCCTGAAACTCGTCATGTAGCCTCCTCAGGGTTCGTGGAAGCCCTTTGTGGGCTCCCTGGAGAATCCCTGGGGATGGGCCAGTCTTCGGCTGGGCTCCAGGAGGCCTCGGAGGAACCTAACCGCCTAACGATGTTGTAAGGCATGTGGCCCCATGGAGCACCACACTGGATCCCCACCCAAACAAAATTATCCCGGCAAAGCAACCTAACAGCGATATGTAGAAGCATATCTGAAAGTATTCCCCTTAAGATTCAAATGAAAATCCAGTTGTAGAATTCTGCTGTTCTCGCAGTCGTAGTCGCATTCGCGATGACAGTCGCAGCGGCAACGGCAGTCGCAGTCACAGCCTCAGCCTCAGCCTGCCTCAGCCTCAGCCTCAGCCTGCCTCAGCCTCAGCCTGCCTCAGCCTCAGCCTCAGCCTGCTTCAGCCTCAGCCTCAGTCTGCCTTCAGCCTCGGCCTCAGCCTCAGCCTGCCTCAGCCTCAGCCTGCATCAGCCTCAGCCTCAGCCTCAGCCTGCCTCAGCATCAGCCTGCCTCAGCCTCAGCCTCAGCCTGCCTCAGCCTCAGCCTCAGCCTGCTTCAGCCTCAGCCTCAGTCTGCCTTCAGCCTCGGCCTCAGCGTCAGCCTGCCTCAGCCTCAGCCTGCCTCGGCCGCAGCATCAGCCTGCCTCAGCATTCAAAATGTGGCCTATGAGTGGAGTTCTGGGAACTTGAAAAGCACGAAGTGGCCTACAGTTGGCTCCAGGCATTCAAAATCATGCCCAGGAATGGAGTTCTGGGAACTTGAAAAGCACGAAGTGGCCTACAGTTGGCTCCGGGCATCCAAAATGTGGTCCGGGAATGGAGTTCTGGGAGGTCGAAGAGCACGAAGTGGCCTACAGCTGGCTCCGGGCATCCAAAATGTGGCCCAGGAATGGAGTTCTGGGAGCTCGAAGAGCACGAAGTGGCTTACAGTTGGCTCCGGGCACTCAAAATGTAGCCCGGGAGTAAAGCTCTGGGAGGTCGAAGAGCACGAAGTGTGTGACTGTTGACGAAAAACGAGCCCGGCTCTGTTCCCAGTTTTCCAGAATGTGGCCCGGGAGTGGAGGTCTGGGAGGTCGAAGAGCACGAAGTGTGTGACTGTTGGCGAAAAGCGAGCCCGGCTCTGTTCCCGGTTCTCCAGAATGTGGCCCGGGAATGGAGTTCTGGGAGGTCGAAGAGCACGAAGTGTGTGACTGTTGGCGAAAAAACGATTCCTCGTTCTCCTCCCCGGCACCCGCCCAGACCCCCGTGAGGAGTCATGATGCTCTCTTTTGACCCTACTAGAAACCTATCAGCAAAAGCTGTTAGGTAAAAACGTTCCAGAGCTTGAGGCATCACGTCTGTGTTACGAACGCGGGGGGAAGACGAAACGCATAGCCCGCCTTCCGCCCAATTAGAAAGCGGGGGAGACAACTCTTGCCCGCTGACGTGGCTCATTTTACAATGCGCTGAAAGCTCCGGAGAGACATTGACACACACACACACACACACTTACACATTCGTACATCTATGTTTATTAACATACAAGAAAGAGGAACGAGAGAGACAAACCGATACACACATACACACACGTATCTATACCTTTAGATATAGATCACTTATGTGAATAGATATGAGCACCTCAATCAGCTACGAAATGCGGCAATGAATAGAAGAGACGAGGCGCGACGAGATAGTGAGAGGTACAGAGCTCTACATGGATGGCATGTATGCACGGGTATGTATATACACAAAGGGAAAGAGAAATAACAAAGAGAGGGATAAGCACAACACAATCAACAATAATGATAGCGAGTAGGGGAGAGTGAGATAGATAGATCGTTGTACATACACATGTCTCACGTTCTAGCGACAGACGACAAACACACATATCAGCAGAGAGGGGTAGAGTGAGTGATACGCATGTACCATTCCGCCGACCCAGCGTGTGAGCCAGAGCCTCGGAGCATGTGAAGGAATCTGGACGGTTCGAAGTGAGGCTCTTGCTTCACTCGCGGGGTGGGTGACAGGGTGGCCGTGCCAGGGTAGGGGCGTGGGGGTGGGGGGGGCCCAGAACTCCCGGGCCCGGGTGGGGGGGGGGGTCGGGTTTTCCTCGGGGGCGCGCAAACATAGATTAGCGATCCATGGATTTGGCGCGCGGTCCCCAAATCCATGGGTCGAGGGAAACCGCCCTCCCCAGAATGCGGCCGGTGGCCGCCTCGCTCGGCGGCGGAGATCCGCGAGCTCCCCTGGAAACGGGGCCCGTCGCTGATCCACGCCCCCTTCAGCCATGTGTTACGAGCGCCTGATTCCCCCGGACTCCCCATGCCCCACGGAAGCGTGCGGGGAGGTTGCGAGGAGGAGGAGGAGGAGGAGGAGGAGGAGGAGGAGGAGGAGGAGGAGGAGGAGGAGGAGGAGAGGGAGGAGGAGGAGGAGGAGGAGGAGGAGGAGGTTCCGCTGATTTTTGCCCAGGCCCTCTCGGGGGAGGCCCATGGGCCTCTCTTGGGCCCTTCCACGCTCGCCGCGCGACGGGGCGGAGGCGCCCTCCGGGCGGCCTCCGGGCGGCCGAGCAAGAGCGCCCAGGGCGTCGGAGGTGGCCTCCAAGAGCAGCCCCAAAGGGGGGCCCAAGTCGTCGACTTCCCGTAGGACGGCGTGCATGTCTGGTGCGCACGACGTCTCGGCCTGGACGGCATCCAGGGACAGCCGAAGGGGCCCTCCTGCTCCGCGACCACCTGCTCGTGCTCGCTCCTCCTCCTCCCTCCCCCCTCCCCGCCCCTGTGACCTCCCCCCGAAACCTCTCAGAACCACCCGAGGTCCCACAAGAGTCTCCCGAAAACGACCCCCCGCCGCTCCACCTCGCTCTCGCTGGCAAGACTCTCTGGGCGGGCGCGCACAAGCCCCCAAGAGGAAGTCGGGGCGGGCTGGCCCGAGCGGCCCCCTCTGCACGCAGCCCAGGGCGGCCTTCCGCCCCCGAGATAGACCACCAGGTGTGGTGCCCGGCGTTTCCGGCACCGTGCAGGACTGCCCAGGCCATCTCCAGGGGCCGTCTGTGCATAGCCCCGAGCGTCGCCCCCCCCACCCATCGAGGGTGCTCTTGCCATCGCTCGGACGTCCATTTCCCGTGCATTTGTCGGTTTCGTGCGTGTTTTTGCGCTCGATGGTCCAAGATGGTCCTCGATGGTTCTCGCCGAGAAAACATGCACACGTCCGAGCGATGCCAATTGCCGATTCCTCTTTGGGAACACGGCAGTCGTGAACTCGGGGCAGCCAGCCTCCGGCCTCCTGCCAGAGCGCAAGCTGCACTGTCGTCTTGGTTTCGCCCTCACTCGCTCCGCCTTCGCTCCGCCTTCGCCTGCACAGCGACGCCTGCGAACGACAGCAGCGCACGAGCTCGCCAGAGCGACGCCGAGCTCGCGCCCCGGCCGCCGACCTCCGGCGACAGCTGGCCCCCTCCGCCTGCGCGCGCAGGGGCTGCGGGGCACATCGGCCCCGCCGACAGGGGGCTCCCCGTCCTCGGGCGGCCCAGGGACACCGGCGATGACCAGCCCCAGCGATGACGGGGCCTCGAAGGCACGACGCCACAGACGAGCGGCGGAGGACAAACAAAGACGACAGGGGGCGGCGCAGAGGGAAGGGAGGGGGGGGACGCAGATCGGCGGGGCGCGAGGGGGGGAAGGTGAGAAGGAGGAGGCCTTCTCGGAAGACTCGGCGGAAGCCCACCGGCCTTCGGAGTAGTTTGCGAGGCCGTCCCTGAAGACACGGGCAGCTTCTTCTCAGAAGGCGCGAGGGCTTCTGAGAAGCCCCGCCGCCTTCTGAGAAGCTCCTCTCCTCCTCACTTCCCCCCCTCGCTCGCCGCCGAAGATATCAGTGGGGGGGGGGAGGTGGGCCAGCGGGGGACAGACCACACGAGCGCGACCCGAACCAAAACAAATGGACAATCGGACCTCGATCATCTGGTCGCGACGGCCTCCTCCCCAGAGATCCGACGTCGTGATTTGTTCAACACGCGGTCCCTGGAAGTCTCCACCCCTTCCCCAGAACCAGTTTTTCGTCTTGAGCCGTTTTTTGACGATCCCGGGGCCCGGCCTTGATTTCTTCAACAATACGAAAAAAGGAACAAAAGAGCCGAACATTGCGAACAAACCCCGCCGTGATTTCTTCAATGCGCTGAACCTCTGGGTCCTCCTCCTCCCCTGCTCCCCCGCCTCCTCCCCCCCCCAGCCGCGTGCCCGGGGGCCAGCGAGGCAGCCGGTGCCCCCAGCAGCGTGTCCCTAGTGGGGGCCCTCGCCGCCCCCCCATTTATTTATAGATATACACATATAAAAAAACAAAAAAACAAACAAAAAAAAACGGTCTCGATTGTCTCCGTGCGTTGGATCTCTGGGTCCTCCGCCCCTGCTTCTCCGCCTCCTCCGCCCCCCCCCCCCGCTCCGCGGGGGGGCCCGCGAGGCAGCTGATGCCCAGCAGCGTGTCCGGGTGCCTGCGACGCCCGCGCCGCCGGGCCCCCTCTCGTCGCCCCGCGGAGAGGGGCCAGGGCCTGCCCTGCTCGTCTCCCCGGTGCTGCGCCCACGGGCCCCATCCACCCCCCCCGTGCTCCTCCTCCTCCTCCTCCTGCCCCTCTGCCGTCTCAGGAGCCTCCTCTCGTCCACCTCGGCGTCGTCCCCTTCGGCCTCCGTCGTTCGTCTTCTTCTCCCCTGCCTCCTCCTCCGCCTCCTCCTCCACCGACCCACCACGAGCACCGTCGGCTGTCCAGTAAGCGGATTGGCAGCCGCACTTCCAAACACACACACGCACACACCTATATATATATATATATATATACACATATATATATATAGACATGTGTAGATATATGCATGTGTGAATTTTGACCTTGCCAGAAGTCTGTGTATGTGCGGGCACCTGTGGGCAATTTTCCGACACTGCCGCATGCGTACTGGTTTTTTTTTTCCGTGAGCACGAGCCGCAGCTAGGTGGCCGGTCCCCAGTGTGCAGTCTGACCCCACTTAGGCTTGCGCCCGCCTGCATCGGCCAAGCGGCGGGGACAGCTACGCATCGTGCTCCACAACGGCGAAGCAACAAAAACTCGGCGAACGAGCAAGCGAGACTAGGACAGGCTGAAGAGAAACGTGGAGAGCTCAGACTAGAAATAATGCCTCGATCGTTCCACGAGCGCACGCCCTGACACGTGCATCGACCTCGATGTGCAGAGCCCCCCGTGTCAGGCAAAATGCCGTTTGTGGGGACGGGTCGAAACCGGAACAAAATTACCCCGGAGCGACCCGACCTAGAAGACGGAGCCCCTAGGAAAACAGCATTCGTTGCTATGCTATGCTATGCTATGCTATGCTATGCTATGCTATGCCATGCTATGCTGCGCTATGTTATGCTATGCTATGATATACTATGGTATGACGCGCTATCTTATGCTATGTTATGATATGCTAAACTGTGCCATGTCATGCTGCGATGTGCGATGTTAAGCCATGCTATGATATGCTATGCTATATTAAGCTGCGCTATGATATGCTATGGTATGCTATGATATGCTGCGCTATGCTAAGCTATGCGATGCTATGATTGGCTATGTTATGCTATGCTATGCTATGCTATGCTAATGCAGCGCTGCGCTATGTTAAGCTAAGCTAAGCTAAGCTGCGCTATGCCAAGCTAGGCTAAGCTAACCCTCTAGGCAGAGCCTAGGTAGGGAATTACACCCATGCTAATGCTTTGCTTTGCTTTGAACTGCCTGTACTTTGCTTTGCTGTCGCTGCTGTTGCCTTGCCTTTGCTTAGCTGCTGTGCTATGCGATGCTCTGCTATGCTATGCTATGCTATGCTATGCTGCGCTGTGCTATGCTATGCTGTGCTGTGCTGTGCTGCGCTATGCTATGCTATGCTATGCAATGCAATGCAATGCTATGCTGCGCTATGCTATGCTATGCTGGGCGATGCTATGATATGCTGTGCTGCGCTATGCTATGCTACGCTATGCCAGGCTCTGCTGTGCTCTGCTATGCTAAAGCTCAGCGAAGTTAAGATGAAGGTACTCTAAGCTAAGATAAACCTGATCTAAAATGAAGCTAAGCTAAGCTAAGAAAAAAAAAGCTAAGCTGAGATGAGATACGCAACGCTAAGCTAAGGGGACGCAACTGGGGGAACCGCGGGGCGGATCCTGGGGGAACCGCCCGGGGCGCATTCCACTGCCCGGCCCTTTAAGCACAGAGAGTAAGAACCCTTCTAGGCAGAGCCTAGGTAGGGAAACAAACACACAAACTGAGCCGAGCAGGAAAGGCGTGAGAGAGTTGATGCAACGAGGGTATACAGTTCAAGCCTGGAGCCCCATAGCGGGCCGTGAACTGCCACGTGCCTGCGTAATACTGGGGAGGCATCTTTTAACGGGCGAAGAACGGTATATAATAAACTTTTTCGCCGTCGGGGGCACCTGCCCCTGGGCGGCTGGAAAGTTTATACCCTTACGGTGGTACCGTGGGGGTATAAACTTTCCAGCCGCCCAGGGGCAGGTGTCCCCGACGGCGAAAAAGTTTATTCTATACCGTCCTTCGCTCGCTGAACTACGCAACAAGACTGGGCAAGACTCCATGGGGAAAAAGCGCGAGCGGCCGCGCCGAGGGGGGCGCGACCCGCGCAGACGGGACGGCGCCGGCGATCTGGCGCGGAGGCCGCCCACGGAGGCCGAGCGCCTCACCCCGCACCCATGAGGAGGAGATCAAAAGTAGGGGGCAAACAGACATACCTCTCTTTTGACCACCCTCGCTTCCAAGAGGTACCAAGCGATGCCAAACTACGGCCTGCACTGGTTAGGCCGCTTGACGAGGAGGCGCGTGGTATGACTTGGTTTTGCCTGGAAGCGAAAGCGGGGTAGGTAATTCACGCTCTGAAAAAAGGAGGAGCGGGAGGGAGGAGGACGGAGGGAGGGAGGGGGGGAGGCTGCACGCTCTTGCCGAGCGCTCAAGGGCTTCCACGGCCACGGATGAGTCTGCCCCGGCCGCGATCGACGGCTCGGCACCTCGACTGCCGCGTGCGTGCTCGTGCTGGTCTGCCTAGTCGTGCCACTTTACTGTGTGCTGTCGCCCGCCTTCATCACATCACTGCCTGTCTGTGCTGTTTCGCCCTTGACATGGTGACTGATTCATGATGTGGCGCCTGATCTTGAACCGGCATCCGCCTTGCAAGCGAAGAGTTGTGAGCGAAGCGGACCTCACGCACGAAAGCCCGCTCCCCATCATCCCCCTCGAAACCTTCTCATGGTCGCTCCCCTCGTCCAACTCACCCTACTCGTCGTCTTCCTCCTGATCCTCCCTCCTCCCGGCTCTCCTCCTGCTCCTCATCATCGTCCTCCCCCCGCTGCTTCCTCCACTCTTCGCCTTCCTCCTCGCTCTTCCCTCCCTCCAAGAGAGCCCAGAATCGAATCGATAAGTCGGATCGGCGATCGACATGAATCGGATCGGCGGAAGTCGGCAGCCGAGTCGGCAGGCTAGTGTGCGCCCAACAAGACATCGGAGCCCAAATCGGAATCCGAGATCGAATCGAATCGGAATCGGGATCCATCAGAGTCGAATCGAATCGAATCGGAGGAATCGAAGCGAGCCCTGTCCCTCCCTCCCCCCATCATCATCGTCCCTGCCTCCTGCCCCCTGGGATGCCGAACGCCCGCCCGCGACGGCGCGCAGCTCTCGCAGCGAGGGCAGGCCCACGGGGCCGCTTTTGCACCGCGAGGTGTGTGCTCGCGGTCCCACTGGAGCCCCAGCAGGCAGCGAAGAAGCAGAGGAGAGGGGGGGAATGGGGGGAAGGGACGAATGAAGGGGCCCCAGGACACACACACACACACATAAATACACACACAGATAAAACAATATTCCCCATAGTTTCCCATATGTTTTGGGTTTCTGTCTTCCCCCCCACTTCCCATATTTCCCCATATTTTCTCAGGAATCGAAGATTAAGTGTGTTTGTTCCTCTCCTGGATGAAGCGGGGTCCTTGGGGGGAGAAGAATAAAAATAGGGCGGGCCTGTCCCTCTACAGTACTCAAAGACAGTCAAAAATAGTCTGGGGACTATGTTTGGACCATGTTCTGACCATTTGGAGGTATGTTTGGACTATTAGTTATTTGTCCTCCAGAATCGCCCTGTAGGGGGACAGGCCCGACCTAAGAATGGAAGGAGGGAGGGAGGGAGGGACGGAGGGAGGGAAAGGCGGTGCTGAGACCGAGGGGGGGAGGCTGAGCGGCAGGGGTAGGAGGAGACGAACAGGCAGGAGGCGGGGATGAGTGACACGATGAGGGTGAGGAGAAGGAGGAGGAGGAGAAAGAGGAGGAGGAGGAGGAGGAGGAGGAGGAGGAGGAGGAAGAGGATCGCCAGGGAGGGGGAACAGCAAGGAGGGACGAGGGAGTATGATGGAGCAGGGAAGCACCGCGCATCCGGCGGTTCGAATGGCTCGAGGCGCAGACCCACGGAGCCCATCGACGCCTGGGTTACCCCGGGCCAGCCTCTACTCCCGAGCAGTATGTGATCGCCCCGGGGCCCCAGAGGTGGCCCCTGCAGGTTCAGCAGGCGAGCGACGACAAGCAAGGGTCGGCGGTGGACAGACCTCCCTTTAGCAGACCTCCCCTTAGTGAAAACGGCCTGGGACCGAAACCGACGGACCTGGACCCGCAAAAATGACGGCCGCGACGCCTCCTCGCGAGCCGACAACGGCCCATTCCTGAATCGACGTGTCAGGGTAGGAGGTCTGTCCACCCCCGACAGAGGTGGCCCCTGCAGGTCCAGCAGGCGAGCGACGACAAGCAAGGGGCCTTTATTCCCCGCGAGGGGCCTACGCGGTGGCGTGCGCGGGCCGCCCGCACGGCACGCTGCCTTGAAAACTTGGGCGCTCGCGCGCGACCTTGCGTGGGCACAGCTCGCGCGCCGGCTTTTGGTGCAGGCGAGCCCCATTTGCGTTTCGAGTCGCCCACGCACACAGGGCAAAGATGTCCCCCATCCCCTCACCTCCTCCTCCTCCTCCTCCTGCTCCTCCTCCTGCTCCTCCTCCTGCTCCTCCTCCTGCTCCTCCTCCTCCTCCTCCTCCTTCTCCTCCTCCTCCTCCTCCTTCTCCTCCTCCTCCTTCTCCTCCGCTTCCTCCCCCCACTTCTAGCCCTTTCGATCAGGGTCGGCGGAACCGGCCGTCAGGCCTCTCCAATATGTCCCTCATCCCCACACCCACATCTCCGACGACCATCTCTCGTTCAATCTGGCCGTGTTTCTCGAGCTCGGCCCCTCAAGAGTGGATCCGGAGCGAAAAAGCATATACCCGAGGGAGAAGGGTCAGGACCTCTGGGACCGCGCATTCGCAGAATTTGAGCGGGGACCGGCCGTCCCGGCATTCGTATAGTCCTACCACGAAATGATCTTGGCACCAAACATGCGCGACATTCATAAACGATGTTCTTAGAACATAAACCCGATGTGATAAAAACAAGGCAGACTCCGCCAGAAATGTTCTAAGAACATTTCTTGGAAACCACAACAGGTTCTTAGAACATTGTTTGGTAGGGCTACAGGCGAGCCAGGACGCTTCGCCACTGAACGAAGAACCAGATCGGCGGATGTCAGGAACCGCCGAAAGCCCTGCGGATCCGGGAGGTCTTTTGGGGCGCGCCCGCGCGCCAGGAGCAGGGGCCCGCAGCTTCCACATATATATATATATATCTCTCTCTCTCTCTCTCTCCCTCTCCCAGGCATCGCTCGGACGTCCATTTCCCGTGCATGCTTCGGTTTCGCGCGTGTGTTTTTTTTTTGCTCGATGGTCCAGGATTGTCCTCGATGGTTCTCGCCGAGAAAACATGCACACGTCCGAGCGATGCCAGGTCTCTCGCTATCTCCCTCCAGAAAAAGCGGTCTACAGCCAAGCTTCGGTCTTCAGACAAGCGGTCGCTACAGCTTCGGCTTCGGAACCCACGGCGCGTCCACGCGCTTGCTGAAGGCCGCGATGCCGTCGCGCGCCTCCTGGGACCCAAAGCACTCCGCGGACACCTTCGCTGTCCATGCGAAGGCATCGTCCAGAGGCATCCCTGGGACCTTGTAGACCAGAGCCTTCGGTGGGTTAGGCGATGAGGTGGTGATGGAGCAGCGGGGTGCTGGTGAGGGAGACGAGGACGAAAGGGGATGCGGGAGGAGAGAGCAGGAGAAAGGATGGCTTGGTGGGAGGTAGGGCGACGCAGGGTGTTGAAGGGGAATCAGGAGCAGAGAGGGCAGGACGAGAGGTGAGGAGAAGGGCGAAAGCAGAAGAGGATGGGGAGGAGAGGCATGAGGAGAATGAGGATTGGCATCTGGGAGGCCGAAGGGGATAATCAAAAAGAGGCAGATGAGCTGCATTAGCAAGGTGAAAGGATGATGCTTGCAGAGAGGACGGGGAACAGGGCAGGGAGGAGAGGGGCAGGAGGGGAGGATGATGAAAAGGAGGAGGAGGAGCAGGAGTGAAGTGGGGAAAAGTGCGATGAGGACTGGGGAGGCAGAGAAACATGATGAGAAGGATGAAAAAGGGAAAGGAAGACGAGACGAGAAGGAAGAGGAGGAGGAGGCGAGAAGAATAATGAGGAGAAGGAGGAGGATGAGAAGGAAGAGGTGCCCCCGTCCTCCTTGCCACGGGCTAGCAAAAGAAACTCCACCTCCCTCCTTGCCAACTCCTCCTCCTCCTAATCCTCCTCTGTTGTTTCACATCCTTCGCCTTCTTGTTCACTTCCTCATGTTACTGCTGCATACCCTCCACCCCCCCAACAAAAAAACGTACGCACCCAGACACGTACATGAATAAGGCCCCTCAGCGCGGCCAATCTCGTTTTACGAACGTTCGCACAACGCGCACATTCGAAAACAACGTGGATTGATGTACGTCCTTCTTTCGCTCCTGATACTCGTCATCATATGCATCCTCACCCTTTCCCTTCCTCTTGCTCCTGCCCCCGTCCCGTGATGAGACAGACGGGGCCAACATGGGACGGGGGCCTCCTCTTCGTTCTCCTAACTCTTATTCTGGTCCCTTTCCTTGTCCTCCTCCTCTGAAGGGGCCCACGGACACACAAATCCGCCGACCCTGTCGGCGTGCGTGAGGGGCTTCTCCGTTCGACTCGTCGTCTCCGTCGTCTCCGTTCTCCCCCTCCCAGGGCTCTCCTCCTCAAGCGCGCTACCCAAAGCGAAATTAAACGACGTCGTAGTGGAGTCGAAGGGAAGCCCCTTCCCTTTGATCCCTTCCCCGCAGGGGGGGGGGGGGGCCGGGGCAGATACGACGCCCGCCGGGGTGCACTTTCCTCGAGCGGGCACGCACGGGATGCACTTCCTCCTCCTCCTGGTCCTCCTCCTCCTCCTCCTCCTCCTTGTCCTCCTCCTCCTCCTCCTGCTCCTCTCCTCCTTCTCCTCCTCCTCCTCCTCCTCCTCCTGCTCCTCCTCCCGCAGAGGCGTCCCGGGAACGGGCCCCGAGTCAAAATACCACCCCCCTAGGGCGCATTTTCCTCGAACGGGCACGCCCGAGATGCACTTCTTCCTCTTCTGGGAGCACGTCCCAAGTCAGAATATCACTCCCGGGGCGCACTTTCTTCGAGCGGGCACACAAAGGATGCACTTCCTCCTCCTCCTCCTCCTCCTCCTCCTCCTCTCCTCCTCCTCCTCCTCTTCCTCCTCCTCCTCCTCCTCGTTCTTCTCCTCCTCCTCCTCCTCCTGCTCCTCCTACTTCTCCTCCTCCTCCTCCTCCTCCTCCTCATCATCATCATCATCATCATCATCCTCCGCTTCCTCCCCCCACTCCTAGCCCTTTCGATCAGGGTCGGCGGCACCGGCCGTCAGGCCTCCCCAATAAAACGTCACAAATGCCAGGGTCCAAAATCTTTCCCCACGTGTTCTGGAGTTTCGTTCGTTTCGCCCCCCCCCCCCGCTTCTTGTATTATCCCATGTCTGCATTGGAATCGACAATGGATTGCGTCTGTGTGTTGTTCCCCCTCCCGATCCTCATTCTCACTCTTTCCTCCCTTCCTCCCGTGGCGCGGCAAGGATCGGATCACGAGGGGCACTGGGAAACCCTGGTATCAGCACAAAGAGGAGAGAGACGGGCGGAGCAAAGATGGAGGGGAGGGAAGAGCGATAGTAAACACAACAATAACAACCATACGAAGGAACAGACAGAAACAGGGGGCAGAAAGAGAGAGAGAGAGAGAAACACTAGAGCAAGAGAAAGCGAAACACAGAGAGAGAGAGAGAGGGAGAAAAAGAGCGGAGAGAGGGGGAGAGAGGTACAGAGAGACAAGAGAGAAAGAGAGAGACAGCGGATAGAGAGAGAGAGAGAGAGAGAAGAGAGAAAGAGAGAGAGAGAGAGAAAGAGACCCAAAAAAACATCCGCCGGCCCAGTCGGCGTGTGTGAAGGGCCCTTCGACGCGAGGCCAGCCCAACCCAAACTGAAGTACGCCAGCCTTCTTTCAATCGTAGTCCTTGTGAGGAAGACCAACACAAACGAGGGGGATCGAACAATGTCGCAAGTACGTCGGCTCGGCTATACGCAAGAGAGACCCTAAGCAAGAGTGACCTTTAGTGCTCGGCCAAGGAGGGGCCCTTTGCGGACACCAGCAGGCGCGCAAGCCGCTGCTATCGCATCGCATTCAGCGGCTGGGGGGCCCCATTCGGCCCGCACCAAAAGGTTGCTCCAGCGAAAGGTGCGGTGACCACACCTGGCGGAGAGTCTCGGGAGATTTGTTGAGGACTCGTGCGGCCTTTCGAGGATGCCCCGAACGCTGGTGGGTCCAGGAATCACCAAACCCGGCGGTGACCACGTGTTCCAAAATCCGGCGGTGACTTTTTGGGGATTCCACGTCACCACCTGATATCTCACCACCTGATGCACCGGCGATGAGGCGTCGACGTCGGCGATGAATCGGCGACGTCGGCGTGGAGAAAACTACGGCTCCGCATCGAGTCGTATCGTCAATGCATCGGCGATGCGGCGCGATCCTCCGACCCCATCCACTCCGACCTCACCCAGGAGGCCCAGATGCCGTCGCATCGCGCTCAGCGGTCGGGGGGGGGCCCTTTTTGAACCCGCAGCAAAGGTCACCGCAGCAAAGGTCACCCCGGCGAAAAGTCACTCTTCCGCGTCGTTGAGTCGACAACGAAGGAGAGGAGGAGGAGGGGGAGGAGGAGGAGGAGGAGGAGGAGGAGGAGGAGGAGGAGGAGACGAGCGCACCGAGGAGACTTCATCCCACCTACGCCAGCCCACCTGCCACCGCGGGCAGCAGGGCGGAGGCAGCGGGCACGGGGGCGCGGGGCGCGCCTGACCCGAACACCGTGTTCACGACGTCCACGAGGGACGCGGCAGGACGGGCGCCGCGGCCAGAGGGCCGAGGGCGCGGCGGCCAAGGAGCCGCACGACGGGAAGGGGAAGCGGGAGGGGAGCAGGCATCGGCACCAGCAGCTCTCAGACGGAGCGAAGGACCGAGAGAGGGAGGAGGAGACAAAGAGAAATGAACAGGCGCGTGGGAAGACCAGGTCAGGGGGGGAGCAGAGGAAGAGAGAGGGGCGGTCGAAAAGATACTGCGACGGGCAGGCCTGAGCGCGTGAGGAGAGGAGCACTGAGCGACGGGGGAGAGAAAAGCAGACGCCATGGTGTGGGCTTTTCCAGGCGAGGGCTCAGAGCGGAAAGGGGTCCACGACGCGGATCGCGGGGAGGGAGGAGATAGTCTCAGAGAACTCGGCGTCGCCGAAGATGCACGACCCGTGGCAACACAAGAAGAAGGCGCCGCCATTCGAGAAGCACACGGGGTAATCGGTGTCGACGGGATGGCCATCAGGGCACGGGGGGAGCGTGAAGAAATCCCAGGCAACGTCATCGAAGAGCAGGGCGGGCGCGGAAAGGACGACAAGGACATTGGAACACAGGACGCCGACGGAGCAGCAGCACGCATAGGAGTCGTCGCCAGAATACACCCCAGACGAGAGCGTCGCGCGACCAGCGACGGCACAGAGCCAGAGACCTTCCCCTCGCAATTTACTCTAGCCTGCGGCAAAGGGTTCGAGGAGCACCCATGCGCAGGACTTTGCGTTCTGACGGCCGTCCTCCAGGGATGTGCATTGTTGTGAGCACTACGCACCATGTGAAACCATTCCTCGCAATTCACTCCAGATGCCTGAAGCGACGGGCTCGAGGAGCACCCGCCGCCAGGACTTAGCGTTCTAACCTCCCGTGACGCAACTCCAGGTGACAGCTGCAGCAACTCCTCGCAATTTACTCTAGATGCCTGGACACCTGGGCTCGAGGAGCACCCATTGCCAGGACTTAGCGTTCTGACATTATCTGCACTCCACCACCGCGGTGAAGAATGAGCCTGCTCGAGGGGCACAGGACTTGGCGTACTGCCAGATTCGAGGCCGTCGAGGTCGTCGATGTGTCCGACTCTGGAGGGCGTCGCTATCAAAGTCGTTGGGGTACCAGGTAAGGAGGGCGTAGAGACACTGCCGCCATCGCTGTGATCCGTGGGTACGAGCCGCGGGGTAAGACACGATGATTGACCATCATTCCTGCCCATGCCAGATCCAGAGCACCCTTCTTCATCAGTGTCGTCGCGGGGCTCGCTGTCCGAGGTCTGGTTCAACGAGGTGTGTCCATGACTACTAGCGGCCACTCCATCACGGTCAGTGCGATCACCAGGTTGATCGGGATGCAGCCCTTCATCTTCACCATCGCTAGATGAGGTCGAAGAGGTCGTCGTGGGTTGCGGTAGGCGGCGGAGGATCAGTGCATCAGGAGGCTGCCATTTCTTTTGCAGTTGAGCGTCAGGCTTGGCCAACCTCAAGTTTCTGACTGCAGCGCGCGCACTAGATCGAAGGTCATTAGCAGTGACGTATAAACGAAAGCGCATATTGTGGTAAATGTTGAATGCCACCGCCAAGGTTTCAACATGCATGAGGTCAGGAAGCCGCAGCCCCAGGCGATCAGGAAGGAGCGGATGCATCTCATATCCCAGTGCTTGGTACACAGCAGCCCACAACGGACGGCATCGCATGTAATGGTACTGTCGATCGGCATGCGCACGGCAACCAAAGATACACGAGCG